CTCTGGCGGGAAGGTAAATGCCGTTTCCGTGTGCTGCTCTGGTTCGCCAGAAGCGGCTTAGTCATGCTGGCCACATGACCTGGAAGCTGCCAGGAAAGCGAGATGAGCGCCGCCACCCCAGAGTCGGCCACGACTGGACCTAATGGTCAGGGGCCCCTTTACCTTTACCTTTACTTGTGGATAAGGAAACTCTGTGGGTGGTACAGGATAATATCCCTCCCATCAGTCACTTTAGAATGTCAAGAGCAGATTGAAACAAACATAATTGGCTTTCATGATACGGCATGTGAAATTGAGCTGTACTTCCTGTATTTACGAAGGGCATTAATAGCCAAAGTAGGATTGTACATGCACCTCTGTGCTGGGCATGCCTTATGAGAGTACAACACACACAAAATATTTCCTGTATATTCATATTACTGAGATCATCTGGTGGTACACTTTTGGCGGTCCCTGATGTTCAGTCAGTATTTGCCAGGCAATGAGCCTGCAGTGTGAAACATTGGAGACATCCCTGATTTCTTTCAGACATTTTTTAAAAAACTGCACTGTTCTGACAGACCTTTGGAATTTGATTTTTTTTTAAGCAACCATTTTTATTGACATGTTATATGCTGCTTTAATGTATTTTGTTCTTCTGTTGTATGCTACCTTGATATATTTCTTATGAAAGTGTGATGCATTCCTATCTTCATATTTCTTCCAAATCATTAAAAAAACCAAGGCCCCATTCTTTACTCATGAAGTAAACTCCTGCAGACCCATTTCTGTTTTCCTGAAGAAAATTTATTCAGTCTGTTGAAAAGTGACATTACCATAGAATTGTGCAAACTGGCCATAGGGTTTTTACATGTGATGACATTCTTAGCGAATCCAGAATATAGCAAATTATCTCAGAAGAATTAACAACTGAATTTCTCTTTGTCCAAGATTGCCTTTACAGTTACTTTCTGCAGACTTGTTTGTCAGAATTACCCTTTGTCCAAGGTTGCATTTACACAGATATTTTCTGCAGACTTGTTTGTCAGAAGGTTTTTGGCTGTTATCCAAGAAATAGAGGCGCACCTTTTAGCAATTTAAATTATTCTGCTTTAGGAAGAATGTAGAGCCTGCAAATGAAGTTTACTTCTTTGTCCTGACTATGAAGATATGAGCCCCCTTTGAAAATGTCTCTAATGGAACGAACAATTACTTTTATTTTAGCTAGTGTCAGGTTTAGTGCTTGTCCCACACAAGACACAGAATGCTGGGACTTTAAGTAGCTGAGGTTTATTTCTCAACAGCAGGCTTACAGCAGTCCAAGCTTCCACAATTCATCCTTCACTGTCAGAGTCAGTTGACTCGACTGGCTTCTGACCCCTCCCAAGGCCAAATATACGCCATGTACTCCCCCGCCTCCTGCTGGCCCGCCTCTGCTCTCATCGCTTGCTCCACTTCCTACTTCTTGGAGACTCAGGTGCAGCCAATTTCTCTTTCTCTGGAGATTCCTCTCTGCTGGGCATGTCCCTGACAGCTAAATAGCTCAAAAAAGCACAAATATTACAAAATAATCTAAAAGTAAATGAGGAAAATTGCCCTTCGCCATTACCATGGTATTGTCATGGTCATATAAAGGGAGCCTTGGGTACTTTACACAGTATGAAAATAAATGTATATGAAAATTCCCTGATATGCCATAAAGTAGCTGGTTTACCTCAAAACTCCATTCTTGATCCAACTGGTGATATAGCTGATAAAGTGGACTGGGATTTATTATTATTATTATTATTATTATTATTATTATTATTATTATTATTATTATTACATACAATATTTAAAACTTTGGCACAGCTTTTGGTTTTCGAATGAAAGAATACAACATATATTTCCCTTATTGTCATTCCCAACATGGACAAATCAGCAATCTTCAACACTTTCAGATCCAGCCTTTAACTCAAATATGTAATGTATGATATTTTAGTGTTTTTTGGTTTCTATGGAAGCCGCCCAGAGTGGCTGGGGAAAGCCAGCCAGATGGGCGGGGTACAAATAATAAATTATTATTATTATATTATTATTATGCATCTCTTAATTTTTTTTTACCACGTCCGGTGATAATATACTGCACCAGCTGATGTTCATGATCCACCAACTGAGCACCAGTGGGCTAACTCATATTTTGTTGCTATGGCTGGGTAATTTCCATTTGTAAATATTCCTACTTTGTTCCCTTTCCTAAGGGATGGGATGGCAGGGATGGGGAAATGGTTGCCTTCCAGATGCTGCTGACCCATTGGGCATGCTGGCTGGGGCTCCTGGAGTCCAACAATATCTGGAGGTTCCCCACTCTTCCTGTACTTCACCAATTTATGCTCTTGAAGCCCGCTTGCAACTTCAATTATCCAGCTTAAGGGTAATGTTTTCTTCCATTCGTATATTTGAATTTGCTGGTCTACCAAGTTTCCACATCAGAAGGCTTTGGTGCGTAGCTTGTATGTAGTATAAAAATGACTTTGGTAAAGAAATATGGTGTTGGGGATTTAATCTGAAAGGTATTCAAAATAAAACAGCCATGTCTTTGAATTCGTCTCACGCTGTGAACGAAAACAAATGTTTCAATATGGCAGCAACAATTTTCTTCCCATTGAATTAATTTATTTTTTTTAATCAGTTGGCATGGGAACCATTTGTTCTTGTCATTTGCTGGTGAGGTTCTGGCAGCTCTCTAAACCCTGATGTGCAGAAAAAGGAAAGAAAACACATTCCTTTGCACACTGGACTTTATTTTTGAGCTCTACAAAGGAAACTGCAAAACAAACAACAGATTACCAGATGGGCCTATGTATCAACAATAATAAAATTTTCTGAGCTCAAGGTTAAAAGGTATTAGGTTATGACTATTTGCTACAACATCCCAACTGTGAAATTACTGCTGTTAAGACAGAGGGACACCATGGTGAGTCACATTCTCCATCTAAACGTAGGATGGGGAACCTATAAGCCTCCAGATGTTGTTTGCCTATCACTCCCATAGTGCCAGGCCAGTATCTTTGCTGGCTGGGGCTGATGGGAGTTGGAGTCCGACAGCACATGTTCCCCATCTCCGATCTAAACATAGATCCCTATGTGTGTCTGATGCATGCACAAAATGTCCGCATATGTGTGTGTTTCCATTCTGTAGAGGGGGCATCTCCACATCAGTGTTTCTTTTCTTTCTATTAAAAAAAATATTCCTATTACAAAATTGCACATACGTGTTGCAACTTCTCTCTTTTGTAATGCCTGAAGAGGGCTTATGTGGCACCCTAATTTTGTAATGTTTTGCAGTTTCAGGGGCTCCAGCTCTTATCCCCTTAGCTTTATTGGCCACAAAGTCTTCCTTGCTCCATACCGTGTAAAGAAACATAGATTTTATGATTTTTGAAAGAAGTCACTGAGGGCAAGTGCAGTAACCCTACCCCACCCATGCCCATTTTTTTCATCTTCCACAAGTTGGGAGGCAACTGAATACAACAGGCTTGTGGTCTTGTATCTATGAAGGATACCCTAAATGTTTTGAAGCCCTGGTTTTATTTTGACCAGACCATCTGAGCGGTCTACTTGTGTGAGGTGGGAACTCAAGCAATGCTGCGGCAGCAACTTCCATAATATATGAAGAATGAGAATTTCTTTTACTCAAATGATTCTGCTATGGTATTACACGAGTCCCTGCTTCCCACAGTAACCTCTTACCTGAATGTAAGCTGTTAAATGCACAGATACATGGCTGATCGTAGCACAGAGAGAAATTAGGCAACAAGGCTCTAATTTTTACCTCAGGCATTATAATGCAGTGAAGAAAAGATGGAGACTTCTTCATGTAGCTTCATCTTTCCTTGGCAAACACACTCAAAACAATCCTCTTTGGAACATTCCATTTTCTTCTTCTTCTGCAAAGCTTGATATCAGCATTTCTAATCTTCTGTGGGCTGGTATTTTTATAGATTACCAATGAAGGATAGTCCTCAGGGGCTTTGTAAGGAATTTAATTCTCTCAATAAAGTAAGAGGACTTCAGAAATATGATCAGAGGAACAAGGCCTTAGGAGTTCTCACCTCAGGAACTGAAATATATTTCATGTCCTGACACGCATTACAAGTGGGTGCTGTAACCTGCACACATCCTCTGGCAAACATTTGTTCACAGATTGAGGAAATACCCTTCAATAAATATAGTTGTGCCATTTACACGGTTGAAAAGAGGAGTTGGAGAACAACTAAAGCTATTTGCATGACTGTGTTCTCATGACTGTCCCTGACATCCCCACAGGACCCAGTCAGTGTCCCTGGACATGCATCCAGCTCTAATTCCCATCTTGGATGAGGCCCAATACTCTTGCTGCAGACACCGCAGCCAAAATATACATCTGATATCTGGGGAAAGAGATACAGAGGCGTGTGAATCAGCAAAAAAATAAGGAACCGTAATGAGAGATCTGGCCCTTAGTCCAAGAGGCTACAACTAAACTGCTATGAAGTTGACAGGGCAAACTTTGTTGTAGACCCAGAAACAAGTCATCTAAACTAAACTGCAAATGAAGGTTGTATTTGGGGGCATTGCTACATAAATATTATGTCCCCTTTTGTATTCATTATATACAGGGATGTTCATTATTGAAATGGTCTAACAGGTTTGGGAAACTTGTGGCTCTTCGGATATTGTTGGGCTCTCATCATCCCTGACCATTGGCCATGCTGGCTAGAGCTGGTGGGAATTGGTGTCCAATTGAGGGTCACAAATTCCTCACTTCAGAGCTGGAAGATCTCAAAACCTTTTATTCATCCTTGTTTAATGACATGGAATTCTGTTTATATAAAGTTGCATAGACACCAACTCATAGTGAACTGGGGGCTGAATTACCGATGGCTTTAAAAGCCCTGGGGAATCTGGTTCACAAATCCTGAGACTGTGTTGCTCACCATTTATGTATATGCACCTGGTTGAAAGACATCCATTCATTCTGTCTTTTGTCTCTTCCCCAGGCCTTGTGATGAGCACCACCCAGAAGTGAAGGCTGATGGTTATGTGAACAACCTTGCAGAAGCTGTGGATGTGATTCTAAAACAACTGCATAAGTAATGGAGCTGCAAGGAGTGACTGAAGGCATAAAGATGGGAGACTTAACTTGAGGTCTGTGACCTTTTGTGCACATCTGTGCTCAGCTCGTTTACATATATTCACCTAGTTTTTAAATGCAGTAATTGTGTTGCAGTGAGGAGCACTACATACATGCCTCAAAAGTCTAGTTTTTCTAACTTGTCTTTGCAAGTAACTACAGTGAAATACTGACTACAGCGAAAAGTAATGAAGCCTAGTGCATCCTTAGAGCAGCCACCCTTCTGAATCGTTTGTATCGTAACTGTTTTGGGTACGTCTAACCATGTCCTATCACTGAATAAACATCTGTGCCACATACCACTTGGCCTGGGACCTGCTTCCTGTGCTGGCTGGTGTTTTTCTGTTTCCTGGAAGAAAGCCCACAAAGGGAGGTCACTTTGTCTCTAGGTCACTTTCCTAAGAAATCAGTGCAGAAGTGACCCAATTCTTAACCAGAGAATGGGGAGGTTACATTTTTAGATTGCCTTCCATTCTTGTGGTTTCTCTGAGTTCAGTTGCCCATGCAGGCATTGTCTTCGGAGTGAAGGATACGTGTAAAGCAGAGGAGCTGCTTTGTTCAAGTTCAAGAGCTGAAATGGTAGCATCCAGGAGGGCAGGAAAGGACCTTGTCGCCAGACTCCAATTCCCATAAAACCTGCCAGCTTGGCCATTAGTCAGAGACAAAGGGAGTTGTAGCCCAACAACACCTGGAGTGCCACAAGTCCCCCATTTTTGTTTTCGTTAAAACGTTTTATTTAAGGGGCTCAGAGTCTGCCTGAAGTATAGGAGGTGGGGCAGCACAGGTGCCTGATCCAGCGTTTCATTCACTGGCCTGCACACCTGTCATCTCAGTTACAAAGCTGGGCTTAGGAATCCACCCTGGGTTTTCTTTTTATATTATGTCCACCTTTTGTATCTTTAAGAGGAGCACTTTCTTATGCAAGGGAGGGGCTGCTTCAAAGCCTGTCCAAGTGATAGTTGAGATTTTTTAAAGGGGGGAAAGTGTTTGGCATGCAACCACAATTCCCTCCTGGCGGATCCAGGGTAAAGTCCGTGCCCAGCACTTCTGAAGAAGGTTTCCTCTATAGTGTTTTGTGCACATGCCATTCTGGGAATGTCATGAGTTCTGTTCACCTTCATCCCGAGAAACACACACGTTTGTGTTCACTTTCATTGTCTTGGAGGAAACACAGGCTCCCACGACCAGACTGCCGCTGTCTAATCACATTGTTTAACTCTTCTAAGAATAGCCTGACACACTGAGAACTATCTTCTGGTGGCTGGACGCCAAGACGAAAGAGCTGGTGTTGGGTTTCCTAATTTCGCAGCCAAATGACTATGCCTTCTGCTGCTGCAGTGTGCAAGTCTTCGTGGATTGGGAAAGGGAGAACAGAACCATTTTGGTTAAACTTAGCAGCAAATTGAAAGACCATTGTCCGTTTCGGACCATTTTAGTCAGATTCTTGGCATTGTCACACTTGTCTAACTTGAGGTAGTAAACTTGTGTTTAGGCACATCTGGTGAGGTTCAAGTGCATAGGCGCCGACTCCATGGGGCCTGAGGGGGCCCGAGCCCCCTCAAAAATTTTATTGGGGGGCGGAGCCCCCCCAATAATTAAAAAAAATTTCGCGCGCCTTGGCTCCCTCGTCGCGCGCCTTGGCTCCCGCAGCCGGCGAGGGGAGCCCGGGCCGCGCGCGGCTACCGCCGCCGCCTCTCCTGGGGGCGCCGCCTCCCCGGGCGGGAACGCTGCGGGTGCGCGAGGGAGGAGGGCGGCCCCCGGGGGCTGGGAGAGCCGGGCTGCCGTGGCCGAGAGGGCTGCTCTGCCGGGGGCCGCTGACATAATTTAAGCAAAATTATCGCGTGCCTTGGCTCCCGCGGCCGGCGAGGGGAGCCCGGGCTGTGCGCGGCTGCTGCCGCCGCCGCCGTTTGTGGTCATGGCGGAGCTGCCGCCTAGGGAGGAGGGGAGAGGGGGCTGGCGGGGGGGCAGGCGGTGAAGGGGGCTTGGCTGCTCTCTCTCTCTCTCTCTCTCTCTCTCTCTCTCTCTCGGGCTCTCTCGGGCTCTCTCTCTCTCTCTCGGGCTCTCTCTCTCTCGGGCTCTCTCTCTCTCTCTCTCTCTCTCTCTCGGGCTCTCTCTCTCTCTCGGGCTCTCTCTCTCTCTCTCGGGCTCTCTCTCTCTCTCGGGCTCTCTCTCTCTCTCTCTCTCTCGGCCTCTCTCTCTCTCTCTCGGGCTCTCTCTCTCTCGGGTTCTCTCTCTCGGGCTCTCTCTCTCTCTCGGGCTCTCTCTCTCTCTCGGGGCTCTCTCTCTCTCTCTCTCTCGGGCTCTCTCTCTCTCTCTCTTGGGCTCTCTCTCTCTCTCGGGCTCTCTCTCTCTCTCTCGGGCTCTCTCTCTCTCTCTCTCGGCCTCTCTCTCTCTCTCTCGGGCTCTCTCTCTCTCTCTCTCTCGGGCTCTCTCTCTCTCTCTCTCGGGCTCTCTCTCTCTCTCTCTCTCGGGCTCTCTCTCTCTCTCTCTCGGGCTCTCTCTCTCTCGGGCTCTCTCTCTCTCTCTCGGGCTCTCTCTCTCTCTCTCTCTCGGGCTCTCTCTCTCTCTCGGGCTCTCTCTCTCTCTCTCGGGGCTCTCTCTCTCTCTCGGGCTCCTCTCTCTCTCTCTCTCTCTCGGCCTCCTCTCCTCTCTCTCGGGCTCTCTCTCTCTCGGGTTTCTTCTCTCTCGGGCTCTTCTCTCCTCTCGGGGCTCTCTCCTGCTCTCTCAGGGCTCTCTCTCTCTCTCTCGGGCTCTCTCTCTCTCTCTTTGGGCTCGCTCTCTCTCCTCGGGGCTCTCTCTCTCTCTCTCGGGCCTCTCTCTCTCTCGGGCTCTCTCTCTCTCTCTCGGGCTCTCTCTCTCGCTCTCTCTCGGCTCATCTCTCTCTCTCTCTCGGGCTCTCTCTCTCTCTCTCTCGGGCTCTCTCTCTCTCTCTCTCGGGCTCTCTCTCTCTCGGGCTCTCTCTCTCTCTCTCTCTCTCTCTCGGGCTCTCTCTCTTCCGGGCTCTCTCTCTCTCTCTCTCGGGGCTCTCTCTCTCTCTCTCTCTCTCTCTCGGGCTCTCTCTCTCTCTCTCTCTCTCTCGGGCTCTCTCTCTCTCTCTCGGGGCTCTCTCTCTCTCTCTCTCTCTCTCTCTTCGCGGCTCTCTCTCTCTCGGGCTCTCTCTCTCTCTCTCTCGGGCTCTTCCCGCCCAGGGCTTGTGGGCATCTGCTCTGAGAGGAAGATGGAGGTGACTTCCCTTAAAGGTCATGGAATCATAGAGGTGGAAGGGACCCAAAGGTCATCCAGTCCAACCCCCAGCAATTCAGGACTCACAGCTAAAGCATCCCTGGCAGATGCCCCCCCCCCGACCTCTCCCTAAAAGCCCCTTCCCCTGTCTGACTGCTCTCACCACCAGAAAGGCCTTCCTAATGTTTTGTGGGAATCTCATTAAGCCTACAGAGCTATATATGCAAATGGATCTACTTATTCTTTCCCTTGAAGATACATTGATTCGTTTGTTACTGTGGTTTTGATCAATACTTTCCAAAGATCTTTACATTTGTCCATGCATGATCTTTGTCTGAAAGCTCATGGGTTGCAGGAGTTGTCATAGGAGGTTATATTTTTGTCCTTCCAACTGTTATGGAAATTACAGGGGGGGGCACATCTTTAAAGTTGTTAAATGTTGCAAATATTATGCCTGAATGTACCCTTTCAACTTGACAGCTCAGGGAAGTTACCTAGATAAAATCCTGTAACACAATGTATCAGCCTTAATCATTTTGCAGATGTTAAGGGGGGGGGCAGAGCCTGCAGCCACCATCCCTTTCCGGTGGGGAGGGGGCAGAGGAAAGACAGGAAGCTTTTCCCTGCAGAGTTAGACCCCTTGGCTGCGTGGCCCTCGGGTCCCTTCAAACTCCTGGGCGTTTTGCTGGTGGGGGGCTGCGTGGGGGCCTGGGCGATGTCAGAAGAGGAAGCTTGCAGGCCTGGTTGTCTGTTGGGGGCAGCAGGAAGAGGCGGAGGGCAGGATGTGCAGCCCCTGCCTGGCTTTCCTGTGGGACCAAGGAAGCGGCTGGGGGGGGGGGACTTGGCCGCTGGCCTTTGTTGCAGAGGTGGCAGTGTGGGAACGCCAGTCCCAAGGGCAGCCTCTGGGGTCTGGGTGCTGCTGCCTGTCTCCTGCCATGGACTTGGCGGGGGGGGGCTGTGCTATTGGGCTGGCAGAGACTTAACGGGGGGCTGCCTCTCCCAGCCAAAGCTGACCCACAAAATTGCAACCCAGTGTGTGTGTTTGTGTGTGGGGGGAACCAGCCTGCGCAGGGTAAGCCCCGATGGGGCTCCTGGGCTCCTTCTGATGCATGAACATTGGAGGTTGTCCTTTACAGCTCAGCTCCCCAAGGGGCTCAAAGCCTCCCAAGTCCATTATCAGTCGGAGACGAATGAGTGGAAGCTGGAAGAAAGGGGGAATCTTTATTTTTCTGTTGAAACAGAGCCCTCCTTCCCACTGACATTTGCAAGGAGGGGAGGACCCCAAACAAAGGTGTGCAGCAGCTTTGAAAGACTTTTCCGGCTCAACATCAGGAAGAGCTTTCTGACAATAAGAGCTGTTCAGGCGGTCTCTGCTCCCTGGGAGAGGCTAGGTGGCCATCTGTCAGGGATGCTTGAGCTAAGATTCCTGCATTGCAGGGGGTTGGACTAGATGACCTTGGGGTCCCTTCTGTCTCTATGATTCTATGATTAGCATAATACAAGCATCTCAGGAAGAGGCATCTACCAACAGAAATCCAAAAGTGTGGCTTCTCTCCTGTCTGTCAAGGGACCTGCAGATGCTGATTGCCTTACTTGGCCAGTTCCTTAGGACTGGTACATACAGTCATACCTCGGGTTACAGATGCTTCAGCTTAAGCATTTTCAGGTTATGGATGCACTGAAACCCAGAAGTACCGGAATGGGTTACTTCCAGGTTTCGGCACTTGTGCATGCGCAGAAGCGCTAAATCACAACCTGTGTGTGCGCAGACGCAGCAATGTGAGTTGCGAAC